CGTAACTATATCGTAAGGGTTCGGACACGAGAACATCGCCAGAACAACCGCTAACGGTACAAAAATTCACCGAGCCCTCGCGTTCGTCATGAATGATGCATAACCACGGTGCTTCGTTGCGCACGGACGTCGATCTTTGACCATCGCTACGTAACACGCAGAGACCGAGGAGCAGGAAGGAAGAATACACCGATACATTCAAAACCGCTTCAAACATTTCGCAATGTTTTGGAACCCTATATTAACACTTTATCTACAGGGCTATTTCGAAACAGTCTTTAATTCATGTTATGTAATTGATTTTAACGTCACAAAATTTCGAATTGCGCGCGAGTCTCGAACCTGTTGCTCCACGCAAACTCTCCTCGAACTCTTCGAGACCTTTCGGAACCCTTCGGAACCCTTCGAATACAAAAATCGCCGCAACGCGTGCCTCCGAAACGAAATCGCTAGCAATCGCACGGAAGAACAGCTCCCATTAGTCTCCGCGTCACCTCTCTTAAGCTGCCAGGACCAAATCACCAGAATCATATCGGACTTTGTGGAATATTTAGTACCGAATTTGTACCAAAAGAACCATTATATACTTTATACCACCAAAAGAAATTTTGTACCTGTTACCATTTTCAAGAAAATCGCAATATTAATATTCAGCTAGCAGCGCCACGATTTTTTCGTAAACGGTAACAGGTACAAAATTTCTTTTGGTGGTACAAATTAGTACAAATTCAGCACTAAATATATCCACTTTAATTTTTTCATTTTTATTAATTGTGACGTGTGGTCCTGCTAGCTTAATATTAAGCGCCACGATTTTTTCGTAAACGGTAACAGGTACAAAATTATTGTTGATGGTAGAAATCAGTAGAAAATAAGTATTAAATATTCCACTGAGTCCGATATGATTCTGCTGATTCGGTCCTGAAGAGAGGTCTCCGCGTCCTGGCAGGAGAGGCGGTAAGGTTGACGCGTCGCCGCGGCGAGGCGTCGAAGGCAGAGCGGCCGTCGTCGGGGCGGCTGTTGGTAGAAACCCGCCCAGCCGATCTGGAAGGGAGAACGGAAATATGCAGTTCGTATTGAGGCAGGTCGGTGCAGCGCCACGAGCCGCGCTCCAGGCGCAGAGATCAATGCACCCGCCGCCCCCTTCGCGGCGCGGCGTCGACGTCCACGTTCGAGTCCTCATAAATCCGCGGGATGCGTCCACGTAACGGGACCGCGAGGGCAGCCTGACAGGGTCCTCAGCCTCGCCTGAAACTAGAAGAATGGCCGGACACCTCGGTTACGTAAGAACGAAGCACAAAGGGACGGCCGCGAACGAAGGTGCCCTGTATCGCGCGTGAAACCATCGCTAAAGGATGCCACGGTGAGGGAAGCCCTCGTGGAGGACCCGGAGATGCCCAAAGACGCGGGCACTCGTCTTCCGTTTACCCGAGGAACCTGAGAACCCTTCCGATCGAATCTTGGAATCCTTGGAAACTTGGAATCCCGAGTCGAGATCAATTTCGAGACCGGTGCTAGGACCCCGGAAGAACGAAGAGTGTCGCCGATGGACGTAGTGAAAGAAAAAACCGAGAAGACCAGAGAGTCGAGAACTAATCGAGAAAATCTGTCCGAGGATGCCACTCCGGAAGGTCTAACCACCGTCTAACCACCGTCTAACCACCGTCAGGTGTTGAAAGACAGCCATAACCTCCGTCACCTGGTGGTAACCTACGCGCTAGGTAAAGTCCAAGCGGGAGGATCTGAATGATGGAAGACGACGAGCGAAGGAGCAGGAATCGTTGGTGCAATGGCTTGGTGTTTGCCTGGTTGGCTGCGACGTGGCCCAGGTCGCGCAAGAGGGAGTCACGGTAACTCTGACTGTTAGGAAAACGGTCAGAGACAGTTGGAACACCTATCCAGCGATCATGAGTGAGTCAGAGAGGACTGTCCGTTGCGTCGAATCGAATATTGTTCGGTGCTGGTGTTGAGATATACGAGAGACTGTTATGAGGGTGTGCTCCAAGTATCGACGGGGGATAAGAGGGTTTTCCGTTGGACGGAGTGTTCTCGACCCTGTCCCAATTTCCAGCGGCTCGATAGGGAGGATGGAGGGAGTCCACGGGACGAGCTCGTCGCGCGGAATTGAAAATAGTGATCGATCAGGCCTGGCCAGAGAGTAAGATATATAGAGGAGGACGCGATTGAACCGCGAGGAATATGTACAGGTGCACGAACTTTCGTTGACGTAGCCAGAATGTTCAAGAGCAGGATCTTCCAGGGCGACCTCATCCCTGTCCTAATTCCGGGCGGCCTGCAACAGCCCAGTACGTAACGAGAGAAACCCTTTACGGTTTGATCGATCGTTCCGTCGCGTGCGTTCGCGCACGGGGATCAATCCTTCGGGCTCTTGAGTTATGAGCGACCGCGGGAATTGGCTCTTGGGGACTGCGCACCGCGCCCTTTTCGCCGAAAATAAATTGCAACCAACCCCCGTGAAGGTTGGAGCTGGTCAGGTCTCGTAGGTTTCAGGTCTTCGATGTTTAATGTAACTCTGAAAACCTGTGAATTCCACGTTCCGAATCTCATCTACAGAGTGTCCCAGTCTAAGTGATACGGAGCTCTAACTCCAAAACCATCGGCCGAATGCAACATTTCAAATATAGAATATTGACTTTTTTCCTTGAAGCTAGCAAACTTTGAAGCATTGTAGCTTGAAAACTAATAAAAATCGGGCAAATACATTAAAGCTTAATGAATTCGTCTTGAAAAGTACTATCGCATGCTCTAAAAACAAATATATAGTTCCATATGAAAAACGAAACTTGACCATCATATCTCGTTAAATAACAAAATTAACAAAAATTCCTTCTCGCTGAAACATGAGCCCCGTTTTACCATGCAATTTCCATATTTGAAATTTTCCATTCGGCCGATAGTTTTGGAGTTAGAGCTCCGTATCATTTAGGCTTGGGACACCCTGTAGATGAGATTCGGAACGTGGAATTCAAAGGTTGTCAGAGTTAAATTCGCGGAGATAGATATGGTCTTCTTTTCGAATTTTTCCGGTTGCTAGGTCTAAAATGATTAATCCTTTGCACTCGAGGCACTTTTTTATAGAATCAAATCCGAGTCCATATTTAAATAAATTTCTGTGAAAGCAAACAATCTACATCGAGGAAAAACATCTACGAACGTTCACGTTTCGATGTATTATTATTTCGATTAATAATTAGCTGTATTCTGATTTAAGTGAATTTGAAAATGTACGTTCACAAAATCACTTTTAAATGGCAAGCTTATTTCGCCTGGAATTATTTCCAAACAAATGTTTCTTTATGAATATGTACACGAATAAACTTTATGCGTGTATATATTTATAATGAAAAATTGATATGGAAACGCCAAACCTATCGTTTAATTTGAACAAATTTCTTCGATAAACATAGAGGATATGAATACTTATGGGAATGACTGTACGTAAAAGTAGACTTCGTTCGTGGATTTAATATTCTGGATAACATGGACACCCATGACCTACATAAAAACAGTTCCTCCTACGTCATCGCTAAACCTAATGTCAATCCACGTCTTTCGAAGTTCTCTTTCCGATATTCTCCCTTGGTTGTACTCGATTCGATCGAATTCCTGGCTTCCATGGCTTATTTGACCCGCAAAATACGAATTCGATATCAGACTTCCAAAACTCAAAATGCAGAATCCAATATGGCCGACATGTACACTAAAAAGTTATTAGATTTTCATGAAACTTAGTATTTATATCTTATTTGAACCGCAAAATACAAATCTGATATTAGAATTGCAAAATTCAAAATGCCGGATCCAATATGGCCGACATATGTATATGAAAAAGTTATTAGATTTTCATGAAATGTGAGATTTATAAATTATTTGGACCACAGATTTCGAATTTGATATTAGAATTGCAAAATTCAAAATGGGGGATTCAATATGGCCGACATGTATATTACACAGTTATTAGATTTTCATGAAACTCTATATTTATAAATTATTTGGGCCGTTATCTTCAAATCTGATATCACAATTTCAAAATTCAAAATGCCGGATCCAATATGGCCGACATGTATATGAAAAAGTTATTAGATTTCCATAAAACTTCATATTTTAAAATTATTTATTCCGCAAATTTCGAATCTGATATGAGAATTGCAAAATAAAAAATTTCGGATTTAATATGGCCGACACGTATATTAAAAAGTTATCAACATCCCCCTAGAGGTGTCATTCCCGATACTGTCCGTTGTCTGTACTCGATTCGATCGAATTCCTGGCACGAAAGAAAAGGTGAAAACGTTTCCGCCTGGAAGGATAAGACGACGGTTGATAGCGGGAAAAAGTAGGTAGAGGTGTATCCGGCGGTAGTGGGGTAACCAAAGAGGTCATCGACCCCCTTGCAGCTGTTATTGATCGACGAGGAGGACTAGCAACATCGCTCCGCCGTTTCGTCCAACTTGCAGCTCTCGTCCTGTCCCGAAGGACCCGTTACTCCTGCGCGAAAAACCCCGTCGAACCCGACGATCGGTCTTCGTCATTCGCCGGAATCTTAATTCACGACATTCGACCCAGAAACGGTGCTCGTGGGAATCCAGCGAGAGCTTCGAGCGTAGCCTGACCCAATAAACACTGGGTGACCTCTTTCCGGACTCCTCGCCCTATCCCAACCTCTCCCCGACAAACCACCACGATTACTACAGCGACGGAACAAGTGGGTCGTAGAATTTTTCCAACCATTTGGAATTTCGATCGATCCCGATATCGACGACTGGGTCAACTCTCCGTGCTCTAATCCGTACCGTTACTCTTTCCACAGTCGCATCATTTTTATCTTTACGTTTCTATCCCAAGGAGAATATCAAAATAACATAGAATAATATAGAAATGGTATTCACGCTCTGTCTCCAAAGCGTACGAATGTCTAAGCGATACTTATGCAAGACTTTCAATTGTCACGATTCGACTAACTCTGTGCAATATTCCAGGTCAGCAGGGTCAGCAGGGAGAGCAGGAGCTGGCGACGAAGATGCTTCAAATTCAGAGTAAAAGATTCTATCTCGATGTAAAGCAGAACAGACGTGGGAGGTTTATCAAAGTAGCCGAGGTAACGTTTGTAATATTCTCAAACTCGAGACGAGTCTCGTATTATAATTCATTTAAACCGGAGAAAAAGGAATTGAAAGGAGACTTTTTTTTTTTACAGATCGGTGCGGATGGAAGGAGAAGCCAAATCTACCTGGCGCTCAGCACAGCGTCCGAGTTTCGAAACTACCTTTCGACGTTTAGCGACTTTTACGCATCCTTAGGTAAACCGCCGTCCTATGGCTATGGTTGTCGGGGCTAAAACAGCTGGTATCAGAACCAGTGATTCTCTTCTCTCACCGGTCATAAACGTTGCAGGTCCAGCGAGCTCGGAGAACGTGCCGGACGACGGGAAACTGAAGTCGGAAGTGATGACCAAGGATAACAGGCGGTATTACTTGGACCTCAAGGAAAATACGCGCGGCCGTTTCCTGCGGGTGAGTCACCCTGTATGTACCAGCCAATGCATTTACTTTGTACGATAGGTGATAAGGAGGTTCACGATCGGTCGGAAAGGTGGATATCGTCTCGAGAGTCGCAGTCATTTTCGCAGGGTAACGAAATTGCAGTTAGGATAGCTGTGCCGAACTTGGAGAAGTTTCGAGGGGGAACGTGTCGCGAGGCATTTACTGAGGTGACGTTGTTTGTTGCACAGGTGTCGCAGACGATCACACGAGGAGGGCCCAGGACGCAGATCGCGATACCGGCGCAGGGTATGATCGAATTCCGTGACGCGTTGACGGACCTCCTCGAAGAATATGGCACGGACGATGGCGGCTTCAAGGGTGACTTGCCGGAGGGACGGTACATGCGCGTGGATAGCAAGAATTTCTATTTTGATATCGGCCAGAATAACCGTGGTATCTACATGAGAATTTCCGAGGTATATAAAGCGCAGACTAAAGATATACGCTTGAATGTATCGTATCGCGTGAGCGTAGCTTCAGGGGTGGATTCGGGGACAATGTCTTACTTTGATCATTTTTATTATTAGCGAGACGCGTCGATCGGGTGCGACGTGGAATTAAACGAATTGTGCTTTTTTCTTTTTCAGGTGAAGACGCATTTTAGAACAGCAATCACCGTACCGGAGAAATCCTGGGCACGTTTCCGTGATATATTTGCAGATTACTGTGAAAGAATGAGGGAAAGAGGCGCCGGAAGCAATGTCGGCATGAACAGCGGCAGCGGAGGAAATGTCTTGCCCGAGGGGAGGGGCTCTGTGGTGGCACAGGTACCATCACCATCGACCTCACAACAGCCTAACCCCAATCCAAATTTAGACTCTCCCTTAATGAAGTGAAAAAGGCTTTAACTTAACTCGAATATTGGAATTATAACCGTAACTCGTTTTCAAGTCATTAAGCGAACTAAAGGAACTTGTCAGAGTCTATGCCATCGTCATCGCCATTTTCATCGACATCGTCATCGTCATTGTCACCGTCACCATCACCGTCATCGTTATCGCTATCGTCGCTATCACCGTCACTCGTCGCCGTCGTCATCAACTGAAAACACCAAAACTCGCCTGGAATGGTTATATATTATCGCAGGGAATCGCAATCGTCGGTCGGCGATCGTTGATCGCAGGATTCGCGATCGCGCTGATTCCGTTGACGAAACTCGCGATTCGATCAACGTCGTCGACCGATTCATGATAATCGGCGTATGTCGAGGGGTGAAACGATGAAGTACAGCGGAAGGAGGATAGATGATGATGCGTGCGTGTGCATAATCGTGTGCGCACGCATGCGGGTGCGTGCATGCATGCGCGCGCGCGTGTATGTGTGTCTGTGTCTGTGTGAGTGTGCGAAAAAGAAACAAGTTTGCCGCTCGTGCGATTAACACAGAGAATAGAAAAATAACGAAACGACGGAGGATATAAGAATTATATCGCGACGTCGTCCTTAGGTGGATACGAGTTGCCATCGATATTAACGTTATGAGAGCTACCGTTCATTTCCTGACTATGTTTCCTCTCCTACGCCCCCTCTCTCCACGCATTCGTTCGATTCCTTTACGTTTTCGCTTGTTAAAGAAATCTCTAATCCGCGTCACCGCACGTTCGTTCGACGAGAAAATTGTAAAAGAAAAATTAACTCTTAGCGGGAAATGGACCGTAGTGGAGATCACGTTACAATTGAATTTGATCGTTCAGAATTTATGAATAAATGAATTGTTATATTAACGATTATATCGCAGGGAGAAAGGAGAGCGTGGTGTGGGTAGTCGCGTTAGGCAAAGGTTAAGCGTGAAAAGCGGTATCACGTTGCGCGGACCTAATCGAGAATATGCTAGCGCGCGTTCGCGACTTGGAAATATATCGAATACTCACGAGTGCTACTATGACGTACCGGAGAGCTTGATGGAATGCTTCTAGATAGAAATCGAATTTGACGGATCGGTGATTTTCGAGAAAGGTTAGGATTTTACGAATTAACAGTTAACGAGAAATTTACCATCAAAGGATTTCTGCTCGTGTGAATCAGACCTGGACAAATTTGATTTTGAAATAAGACACACGAATAGCATTTGGAATCTTCGTAGCTTGCAGTACCTTTGCGTACCCCGACCCTGGAATCCATTTTTCTTTCTCTCGGGCGCGCGCGTAACTTCTCGTCGAGAGTCAAATTGCACAGGGCAAAAAGCATAGTGTTTACACGCTCGCCGCGCGACAACGTTGGATCACAATTTAGAACCGCGACGTCACACACACTCGTTTACGAACCGAACGACGTCTCTCTTAAAGTAATTATGAAATAATATATAACATAAGCGAAGAAAGAAATGAAAAAAAAATTGACGCTAGGCAAATACGAATCCCTATAATATGTATATTATACAAAGTTAATTATGTTATGTTTTGTTTCATCGATTCATACGAGAAATGCGCATCCAGACACGAACGCATGGTGTCTGGGTATAGAAACGCCAGAACAGAATGCAATACACGAGTCATATATATATATGTACACACACACAAAGTCGATACATTGGACACATACATACTCACACGTTGGTATATTAGATACACACACGCATGCACTGAGAAAAACATACCGATACACGGAGAACACGGGGAATTGAACAATCTCACACATACGCGCCCACACGCATGCACGCGCGCGCGCACACACACATACACACGCACACACACACACACACACACACACACACACACACACAGAGCAAACACGACATATTCCATCATGAAAGATGAACGGTACAAGAGACGGTGTGCACGCGTACGTAATTACGTTACGTTTGAGTGACGGCCGAGTTCTAACACAATTGCATATTAGGTATGTATTATACGAATGCATATTAGGTATTTATATAGAATCTATATAACTGTATAATTGTAACGAAATGCCAATGTCCACGGACCCAGGCAACTGTACCACCCGGCAACGCCGTGTATCATTCGAATTGAGGGGGGGTGCGTGTTGAGGGCCCGCAGCCGCCTAGGTCCGAGTCTCTGGACGCAGGAAGAAAGATAACGAGACAAAACGAATAGAGGAAGGAAAAGGCAAATAATATTTCAAAACGAACGACCGAGTCGGAGGAGAATTAACTGCAGTCAGGTTATTTCTCAGTGGAAAAGGAAAATCTTAATACGCTTTGATTCTGCAACGCTGTGCTAATATCAACAATGATAAAAGAAAAGAAAAGATAAAAAAAAAATAAGAAATGATGAAAGAATATCTATCCGTTCTCTTGCGTTTCTTCAAATCGAAACGATATTAAACCGAAACTAATTAATCGCGTGTTCGCACTGGTGCGAAACGTTAATCGTGCATCGGAACGGCATAGATGCGTTAAACGCATAAAGTGCTATTTAATTAAAATGACGCGTCCCGGTTCGTGCGTTATCGGGCGCGTCTAACGTTTGAAGAGATGATTAAAAAAAAAAAAATTTTATTTATTTTTTAGCAATGAACCTATTATCTATTTCGATAAGATATTTCTTTGATTGCATTTCCTTCTAAATCGACAATTTCGGCTGGTCTGAATTTACTTAGCACGTAGGATTTTTGATGATATAATGAAATATAAATCACAATTAACAAATTTCGAGATACGCACGAGTGGGTGAACTGTCGAAAGGACGAAGATCCCCGATCCTCTTCAATTTAAGAATAGTTTGAACTCAATGTGATGATTTCTTTCTTCTCGTTGTATTATTATTATTATACTATTAATTATTATTATTACTATTATTAATATTATTATAAATGTTGTCGTTATTTTTAACGCACCGGACGATTACGTCGACATAATATCGAACGTTAGAATGAAATAGTTTTGCACGGTACAGCGAACCTCGGATCTATCGTTTGCACGTTCGTCTTTTTTACGATCGTTTTACTTGTTTGTTCTCTCTCTCTCTCTCTCTCTCTCTCTCTCTCTCTCTCTCTCTCTTCATTTCTTTTTTTTGTACGCAACTTGTCAAACTTTGTTGAGTTCAAGGGGGTCGGTGTAAAGCCCGCGATCTGTGCACAAGCACATTGTCCAAAAACCGAGCGTTCTGATGGAAACGGCAAAGAAAAGGCATAGAGGAATAAAAAAAAAAACTCGTTCACTGGCGCAGATGGTATGACATTGTGATCTATACAAATTACAAATTACAAAGCATCAACAAGTAGTAGATATTTAAGATATAAATACACACGTACACCTACGGTGACCTAGACACAATTCGTCTAACTATGTTCGCGATCGCGTGTATAGATATTATACACACATTACACGAGACAAAGAAACACACGTTATTAAAAAGTGAGGACGACTACAACGTACCTAACTAAATAAAACAAACAAACGATTAAAATAAAAAAAACAGAAAAACAAAGGAACACAGAGAGACAGATTATAAGCGAGGGAGTAAAACAAAAAAAAAATAAATAAAAAATAAAAAATCGTCTGACACGTAAGAAGTAAGCAAAGTAATATAAAAGTAAAAAAAATGATGAATGAAAGATGGAAACACGACGCTCCTGCCACGCAGCGAGTCCTTAGACAGCTTTAAGATAATAATTATAAATGATAAATAATAATTATTATTAAATAATAACGATAAACTTTCTATATGTTGAATCGTGTCTAGTGAGAGAAGTACTATTGAAGTAAAACCAACAACAAACAAACAAAAAAAAATTTACTATCGCCACACACATGGATTAAACACAGTTTATATCGACCATTAGTTGTCTATCGAATGTTCTTCTTTTTTTTTTCTTTTTTTTTCATATAGCGGAGAAGGTGATTGTTAGAGAATAGCTTTGGTGTTTCGTTTGCTGTTTTACAAAACGTTGTAACGGTTGGCGGTCGGCGAACCTTTTTGCTAGAATGTTGATGTGAAAAAAAAAAGTAACAAGGGGGTAGCCGAAAGTCCACGCCTACGATTTATATTTGGTGGGGCTTTGTCCACTGCTGTTATCATTATCACTGCTATTATCACGTAGGGTTTCCATACCATGGCCGCGTTTTCGCAAGCTGTACGCGTAGAACCAATGATGTCCTGTTACTAATTATATGATAATTGGTCTCCTCGCGGGAGAGCGAGAGCGAGAGCGAGAGTGAGAGAGAACGAGAGCGTATGCATGTTTACCTTTCATTAATTCTACACTTCTTGTTAGTGTAGCGCTCGTCTATGGCGGTACGTTAGATTAATTGTAAACCTAATCGCGCCAAACTTTTAACTCGCATTATAAGCTGTTTTTGCTCGCGGCTTGCGACAGGAGATTATAAACGCCATCGGTATGAAAACCCTGCGCTCGCTGCGATTATTCTTATTATCATTATTATTATTACGATTATATTGTCATTATACTTATTATTACGATTATCCTCCTTATTATTACTATTATTACTATTAGTACCATTTATAACCAGAGCACTAGCAGGTGCGTCTTGATCCACCGATCGCAGGACCGGCCTCGAGCGGGCTGATTTCTGTTCTTCTTTGTTGTTTTTTTTTTAAATATATATATATATATGTATTACTTTTTAACCCTCTATTGCATAACGCGCTCGCGATGTTCTTGATTGTTCTTTTTTTTTTTTAATACAAACATCCAACGGCTCTGCAGACCTTGCTATATTCATCGTTCATCTCGGAACATCAATTAACTCCTGTGTGTGTGTGTGTGCGTGCGTGCGTGCGTGCGTGCGTGCGTGCGTGCGTGCGTGCGTGCGTG